CCATCTCTCTCTCTCTCTCCCTCATTCTCTCTCTCGCTGTATATATCTCTCTCTTTCTCTCTATCTCTCTATCCCTCTCGCTCACACACACAGAGGCAATCAATCATACAGACTTGTAGAAGGGGACGGGCATACACAACGCCGAAGCACCATGAGAGGCTCTCGGCTGGCCTCAAGGGGCCCGGGCTTGCCCGGGGGGAGGGCTCGCCCATGGCTCCGGGGCGCTCTGTGCTGCGGATGTAATCACGATGTTCTACGCCCTTGCAACCCCCCTTCCCTTCCCCCTCCCCCGGGCCACTCTCGCCCTCTCTCCTCGCCACGCCCTACAGCTCGCCAGAATGTACGTACCCTCTCTCTCTATGGCCGACTCCTTGTGCTCGCCGCCGATGCACTGCTAAAACGGGGTGTACCGGGTGTTCCTTTGCATGCACCCCAGCCCGCCCCAGCCCGCCCCAGCGTAGCTATCGTTTGTCCACCGCCTTCTCCCGTATAACGCGCCCCCGGCCCCATTGCCGCGTGTGCACGGCCTACATCTTCCACGGTAAGAATTATATCTGTTAATTCAAGCAGATTGCTTGATATCCAAGTAATTTTTTCTTGAATTTCAAGTAATATTCTTGAATTAAAAGATACAATTTTTACCGTGTCGACCTTATTGTTAACTCTATTTATTGTTATCAACCCAACCCTGATAATTGTAACACGACTTTGCTCTCTGTGTGTTTCAGCTGGCCCAGCTCCTACCCATGGAGGAGAACTTCCTGCTATTGTTCCGCTTCGACAATCCCTTGGACTCGAGCGTCGAGTTCATGAAGGTAAGGTGGTTGGACTTCCATAAAGACAGCTTATTAGTTCGACTTGACAAATATGCTCCTGGAAACAAAACAAAGGCTTACTAAAAATTTAACCATTATAATCTAAAGCAGCAGACTAAGTTTTAAAAATAAATTCAAAACTTCCATTTTAGTCGATTTTGTGTAAAAAGTAATCGCTTAGTTTAAATTATTAATATTTTCCCCGAAGTCATACACCTCATGGGGCCCCCCTCCAGCCACACAGTGCGTGTGGAGGTGGGGGCGCAGGCCGATGAATACCAATCAAACAAAAGCCCCTCTCGTGAAACGCTGCGCGCCACGCCGCTGGAAGTGGTTTTTGCATTTCGCCTGCCTACGCCGTTTTTGCGCCAGCAGCTCGCAGCCCCCAGCAGTAAACTTTGCACAGGGGGAAAAGGAGGGGCGAGGGAGAGGTTGGGGAGAGGTTGGGGGTATGCCATATTTCCAAGCGGAGACAGCAGACGACAGAGGTGCAAAAACAGACGTCCCGTCGCGCCGCGCCGCCGCGCGCTGCTCTGCTCCCCTCCGCCCTCCTGCTTCCTCCTGACATGGCCTCAGCCCCGCGAGCAACCAGCAACGGTGGTGGCCTGGCGCCCGGCCTGGACAAACACACAAGCGCCAGACAAGTTCCCGGCGCATTTCCCTGCTGCTGCTGCTGTTCGTGTGACGTGTGGAGAGAAGGAAGGGTTCGACATTGCTGCTGGTGGAAAACGTTATTATTCCAACGATTTCCCGACGAATTTCCTTGTTCAGGTAAAGCGATGTACACGCGCTCCAGCCTCAGCCCGCGGCTTACAGCGCGGCGCGAGGCCTGCATTCACTCACTTCCGAACCATAAACGGAAAGGAGAAGGAAGGGTGAGGATGCGGGGGCGGAGGAGGAGGAGGGATGGGAGGTGGAGGAAGAAGGGGAGAGGAAGGGGAAGGGGGCGTGACATTGCCCACATGCCTTGGCCATTTCCTCTTCCATGGCCCGCCAGAAATGATCCGTCGTAATTTTTCGCTGCGGAAGGCGCGCGCGCTGGCTTCGCAAGGGTTGCTTCAGAAAACGACGCGCGGTCGCGGGGGGAGAGAAAGGGGTGTGAGATATTTTCTGTGGTGAGGGGGTGGGTGGAGGAGAAGAGGAGAGAGCACTTCGTCGATTGCCACTCGTTCGGACGCAAACCGAAACACACAAAAGCAAGGAGACCGCACCGCCCACCCCCTTCCCCTCGCCTTCTCATGCACCTCATCCTCATCCGGTAGCCCGCCGCTGCTGCAGAACTAGGCTCAATCATCCACGGATAGCCCCCTCCCTCGTGTCTTCTGTTACGTCTTCTTGTTTCTCTCTCTACCTCTCTTCCTCTCTCTTCCCCCTGTGGTCTGTCTCTTCCATCCCTTCTGCGTGCGGTTTACGGTAGCACTGAGGTGAGAGCACCTTTTTGCACGGAGGTGATCATAAAGGACACTTCGCGTCAGTGTGGGGCGTGGAGCGTGCAGGTCGTTTCGGTCTGCTTCTCTGGGCTTTGTAAAAAATATACTATGAGGTATGTTGTTGATAAAGCCGGTGAAATACTGGTAAAACAAAATGGGAGTTGCACATTTGAACAGACGTCAAGTGATGAAAATTTAAAACCAGTTTTACGATTCATTATGTTCCTTTACCTAATGCTCTCCTATTATTTCAAAATTATGTTTTGTGTTTGTGGGCCTTGAAAACTTAACGACAGGTCGAAATCAGTCGCGCGTCAGCGTGACGCGGGTGTGGGTCGCGCCGTGACGTCGTAGCGGGGCTCAGCCAGCAGCCCCGGCCGAGGCAGCGAGGCATGAAGGGAAGATTGAAAAAGTAAAACACTCCCGCCGCCCCGTCTTCTCTTTCATCGGCTAATGGGTCACCGAAAGTGAAAACAAAACTTCTCGCGCGCGCAGCAGCCGGTGAAAATTCCTCAATAATACAGCAGCCCTAGCAGCAGCCGAGGATGGGAGGAGGAGAGGGCGGCGGTGGTGGTGGTAGATGTCGCCAACAGACTGGACGTCGCCCTGATGAGGGGGCAGAGCGAGGGGCGAGGCGGCCGCCAGACTAAAATTCCGTCGCGCGCGCGCGGTTCCTTTCCTCCGATGCCCGTCGCCCCCCCCCCCTACTTTCCCCCCAAAGTGGCAGCAGCAGCAGTAACTTCTCCCCCGCCTTACGTCGGCGCCACGCCCCTTCGTGCGGCTCTTGCAGGAGGACCAGCGAGCGTCCCGATAAACTTGGCGCACAGCAGCGGCGGCAGCTGGGCTTGGTGCCACCTGGCCCCCCGTGGCCCCGCCGCGCGCGACGCTCCCGGCTCACAACGCCCCTTCTCTTCTCTTGGCGCGCATCAACTGTGCCGGGTGAGGCGCCACCCGCAGGAGCAGCTCCCCTCCCTGTTGTGACCCTTGACGGACGACGGGCACGCCTCGATTGCTCCAACTATAGGGTTGTGTTGTTGACAAACGTTCGCTGCATCTGAAAGCTCAACCCATCCCGTCCCGTGGCCCTCATCTTAAACTGATCGTTTTGTCCAACATTTTGTGAGACGGTTTTGTAGAGATGACGCGTGAAGTTTTTGTAATAATTTAGATTGAGTAAATTCTATAGGTTGAGGAATCCTGCAGATCCCCCGGAACTTGTTAACTATCCGAGGTTAATTATACTTTGCCGGGCAATCGCAATATTTCTTTAACAGTCCGCTCGCTCCAAAAACTCTAACGAGTCTTCTTTTCTTCACAGATATGGCGCGAGTACGACACGGATGGAAGCGGCTACATCGAAGCAGACGAGCTCAAGGTGAGTCGTCGTTGGAGGTCGTAAAATTGGTACAACCGATAAAAATGTGAACACCACTTTCCACGTTTTGTTTTCTTTTTACCCAGACACATCTTTTAGGGATGTAGAAAAGAGATTGGTGACATTCCACACCACAATTATCTTATTTTTATAAATGTACCATTTTTTGGCACAATAGGGTTAATATTTGTAGTAAAATGTCAGTTTAATGCAGCAGGTAGAGGGATCTAACTTTCGGTAGACCGAACGAACTGACGAACTGACCCCGTACTGATTATTCCTTTGAGAAGAATTTTGTTCGTATTGCGCGACGGATTTGGCTGCTTTGTAAGCTCACGAAGAAATTTCTTCGCAAACAAAGCAGCCACAATCGTTGGCAAGGTTTTTTTTTTCAATGTGTGAATGTCGCTCCCCGGTGGAGAACGCCCGCGAATCGCTGGGTAGGCAAACCCGCCGCGCAGCCGTGCCGAGCACGATGCATCGCGGAGCCGCCCGGCGCTGACCGCATCTCTGTCGCACCGCAACGAATGCATGAGGGAGTCTTTTGTTTTTATCATCAGCCAGTTCGATTGGAAATTCGTTCGTAAGATTCGACTGAGACCGCAGAGGTTCCTTATCTGTCGCACCTCTCACGTTGGCCCCAACCCCACATCCCTCGATCTGTCAGCTGTTTGGACAGAGATAGACCGTCCACGAATGCAGTACCTCTGTCATCGTCAGTTACAATTTGTCCCAGCTGTCGAGAGGAAGGTTAGTCCCCTCCCCTCTCCTCTCCCTTTCACCACGTCATTTTCCGGCGTAGTTAGCTTGCTCAGGAGGTGGATGGGTTTATATTACCCCGAACGGGCAGGGGTAGGGGGGAAACGGCGGTAGGTGAGAATGAAGGGGAGGGAGGGAGGGGGGTAATTCAGAGGTGGAAGTTGTCGTGGCGGAAGTAGGGGAGGGGAGCGGTAGGGGTAGCGGGGTCGGGCGAGAAATGTTTTATTCAGAACCAGCTTTACACGCCGCCACAGCCCTCTAGCGGGTGGAGCGTGGCAGGGGAGTGAGCTGGAGCGGAGCAGGCCGGCGCCAGCGGGCGCCAGTGTCGAACAGTCGTCGAGCCTCCCTGGACGCGGAGGTGGAGGGCAGGGCCAGGTCAGGCCGCGTCCGGGAGGCGGCGTACCGAGTCCGGTGTACTGCCCCGGGCCCCCGGGGGCGCTCTAAGAACATCAGACGGCTCACCAGACCAGGCCTTTCGCCTTAACCCTTTCTCTATCGCGCTCTCCTCCTCCCCCCCCCCTCTCTCTCTCCGTCTCTCTGTCTCTCTCCCCTTATATCTCTCCTCACCCCCCCCCTCTCTCTCTCTCTCTCCCCCCACTCCCTCTCTCTCCCTCTCGCTTCATCTCTCTCCGCGCCTATATACTGTATCGGGGAGTGGGGCGGGATTATCATCTGAACAGGCCACCCTTCCCTGCCCCCGCGCCCCGCGGGTCGCCAGCGCAGGACGCTATGGGAGGGAAAGGCTTTGGGCCGGAATAAAGATTGCCGAGCGGCGCGGCTCGGCGGGACTGCGCCGGGCTGCCCAATTGTGCGCGGAATAATAAAGCTTCATTTCGCCATCGTGAGAAACGCGTTTCGAGTTCCTTCCGGAGGTATTTTAACGGCGTATCCCGCTGCTGTCGCTGCTGGCCGCTGCCGCGACGCCGCCGGGCGTCGGTCTGGCCAAGGTCGCGAACACGATGCTCTACGGCTAACTTTCTTCATCTACGCGCGCGGTGCGCAAACTCGGCGGCTTTGGCTCGCGGGGCGGCTCGGCAGTAGTTGGGGTTGCAAGGGTTTCGTTTGCACTTGGTTTTCACATTCCGCGCGTGAAGGAGAGGACATGGAACGAGAAGCAGAGACGACTCCTGCAAGCAAAACGTGTTTTCTTCCTGTGTCCTTCTGAAGAGGAAAGTGAAACAGGCAAAAAAACGAAAGGTGCATTGGTTTGGTTGGGGGCCAGGTGAAAAGGCACGGCGTGTACATGCAAAACTCAAGGTTAAAGGCCCACCCACCCCCCACCCCGCTCCCGGGCTATGGTCGTCGGGTAATGCTGGTTTGCGGGTCAGGATCGAAAGTGCTGCTACGGCCTACACAGCAGCTGCTGTTTGGCCCGGGGTTTGACCATTTATACTGACGAAATATTGCAGCTTCGTGCGAGCGTGCGCCATGCGCAGTGGATGCGAGAAGCTTCACGCGGCTGGAACGACATGTAACCAATAAAACATTCAAAAGCAAACTAATAGCAATGACAGTTTAGGAGGACAGCATGTCAATATTAATCAGGGGGGAGAAAAAAACGGAAAAAAACGTCGCGGAATAATTTTGACATCAAAGATTTAGTGGGCTTATTGGGTGCCATACCCAGAGGGGAGTGGTAGGGAAGGGGGGGATCAGCCACCAATAAGGGGTGCAGTGAGAATGGGTGAGGCCAGCCGAACAACCCCGGCCGCCCATGCAGCCAGGCGGCGGCAGTGAACAGCGCGGCGCGGCCAGGCCGCCAGCTTATTACTGCGCTATGAAATTTCAGCGCGCAGAGTTTAGAACTCTGGCG